TCGGATGGCTTTTGCCAAGGATGATAAGTATGATATTTATGTGGTAATCAGCAGAGACTGTGCATTGTAGAATGTATTTTAAAATTTCAATAGCACATTGCTGTATACCCTACATCACTCTAGACCTCGCACATTTAATGTCTCATGGACATATTGCAAAGCAACATCAGAAATGCCCGATTATATACTAGAGACAGAGTTTGTTATATAGAATATCATTGTCAAGCGGAACATTAGAGCGAACAACCCTAGAATCTGAATCAATTGGCTCTAAACTGCATTGAAAATCCACACTACAGTCTACTAAATCACAATATAAGCTTCCAGACAGAAGTGTGTGCAATCGGGATTGTATAGAATTCAATCATTGTCAGTAAATAAACAATAATCTATATACATATAAGTGAATTCTAGGGGACTCAAGGATGTAATGTTTCTCTTACAACATTTGATAACTTTACCTCTTGTTTCCTCGATAAGCTTTTTATAGGAAATACGGCTTCTCATAAAAATCTTATCGATATTTTCAGTTGAAGGACTCGGTAAAACGCACAACTTATGTATCGAGCCGGACGACTCTAGTTCTTATTATCGGACATATCCAGTATGCGTCGGACTTATATATATTGAGCGGAGCGATATCGTTTCTTACCTTTAATGGAAATGGTCCCTATCATCAATACGGAGTGTCACCACCAGATGGACTACCCAACTACGATCTACAAACAAACATCTACTGTCAAACATGCTTTCGAAAACATCGCTATTTAAGCCATATTCTAGTCTATAGTCTAGTCCATAGTCTAGTCTATAGTCTAGTCTATAGTCTAGTCTATAGTCTAGTCTATAGTCTAGTCTATAGTCTAGTCTATAGTCTAGTCTATAGTCTAGTCTATAGTCTAGTCTATAGTCTAGTCTATAGTCTAGTCTATAGTCTAGTCTATAGTCTAGTCTATAGTCTAGTCTATAGTCTAGTCTATAGTCTAGTCTATAGTCTAGTCTATAGTCTAGTCTATAGTCTAGTCTATAGTCTAGTCTATAGTCTAGTCTATAGTCTAGTCTATAGTCTAGTCTATAGTCTAGTCTATAGTCTAGTCTATAGTCTAGTCTATAGTCTAGTCTATAGTCTAGTCTAATAGTCTAGTCTATAGTCTAGTCTATAGTCTAGTCTATAGTCTAGTCTATAGTCTAGTCTATAGTCTAGTCTATAGTCCTAGTCTATAGTCTAGTCTATAGTCTAGTCTATAGTCCAGTCTATAGTCTAGTCTATAGTCTAGTCTATAGTCTAGTCTATAGTCTAGTCTATAGTCTATAGTCTAGTCTATAGTCTAGTCTATAGTCTAGTCTATAGTCTAGTCTATAGTCTAGTCTATAGTCTAGTCTATAGTCTAGTCTATAGTCTAGTCTATAGTCTAGTCTATAGTCTAGTCTATAGTCTAGTCTATAGTCTAGTCTATAGTCTAGTCTATAGTCTAGTCTATAGTCTAGTCTATAGTCTAGTCTATAGTCTAGTCTATAGTCTAGTCTATAGTCTAGTCTATAGTCTAGTCTATAGTCTAGTCTATAGTCTAGTCTATAGTCTAGTCTATAGTCTAGTCTATAGTCTAGTCTATAGTCTAGTCTAGTCTATAGTCTAGTCTAGTCTATAGTCTAGTCTATAGTCTAGTCTATAGTCTAGTCTATAGTCTAGTCTATAGTCTAGTCTATAGTCTAGTCTATAGTCTAGTCTATAGTCTAGTCTATAGTCTAGTCTATAGTCTAGTCTATAGTCTAGTCTATAGTCTAGTCTATAGTCTAGTCTATAGTCTAGTCTATAGTCTAGTCTATAGTCTAGTCTATAGTCTAGTCTATAGTCTAGTCTAAAGTCTAGTCTATAGTCTTGTCTAAAGTCCAGTCTACAGTTTAGTATATAGTCTAGTCTATAGTCTAGTCTATAGTCTAGTCTATAGTCTAGTCTATAGTCCAGTCTATAGTCTAGTCTATAGTCTAGTCTATAGTCTAGTCTATAATCTAGTCTATAGTCTAGTCTATAGTCTAGTCTATAGTCTAGTCTATAGTCTAGTCTATAGTCTAGTCTATAGTCTAGACTGTAGTCTAGTCTATAGTCTAGTCTATAGTCTAGACTGTAGTCTAGTCTATAGTCTAGTCTATAGTCCAGTCTATAGTCTAGTCTATAGTCCAGTCTATAGTTCAGTCTATAATCTAGTCAATAGTCTAATCTATAGTCTAGTCTATAGTCCAGTCTATAGTCTAGTTTTACAATAAATTGTTCCTTTTCTATTATATCTCACACTATTATCCTCTAAAACTTGTAAATCGGTATAGTAAACCAAATAAATTCGCCCAAAATTCAATTGTTGTTATATAGAAGTAGGAATCAACGAAAATAAATAACCAAAGAAAAGTAATGAAATCAAAACAAAACCAATTGAAAATGTTAAAATATATACTTTATTTCTTGTTTTTTTCTCCGTTTTAATAAATAAAAAATATTATAATTCAAACGTATTCCAAAAAAAGCATTGTTATTTTTAAATATTAAAAATTAATTAGCTCGTTTATTGTTTTTATTATTATGTATTAGTATTATTTTGTGTTATTTAAGTTATATGCATATTGAAACTATTGTTTATTGGTTAGTGTGTGTGGTTGGTTTTTAAATTATTATTTTCTACAATTTTTAAAGTGACGACGACAGTTATTACTTTTGTTTTTTTTTTTTTCCTCTTTAACTTTAGGGCTTTTTATGGGTTTTTTTGTAAATATTAAAGTAGTTTTTGTTTAATTTTTATTTGTTTATGTTTAGATTATTATATTTTATTTTTATTCTTTCAATTAAAAACTAAAATCTACATAAAGAATTGGATTTTTTTCTTGTTTTTTTATTTAAGTTATTTTATATAATTGCCATAGATATAAGGTTTTTTATTTATATATAATTTCTTGTTTTCAGTTTTTTTTTATATTTAATTTATAAACTATAATTTTTATTCAATAAATTTTTTAAGTAAAATCTTTTTCCTTTTTTATTTTGTATTTATAATATGGTTTAATTTTATGTTTAAACTCTTCTTAATAAAGATTTTACTTGTAATTTGTTAATGTTTGTAAATTGTTTGTCATGATTTGTTTAAAGGGTTATAGCAGTAGGGGAGTTTGTTTGTTAATAAATTAACTTTCTTTTTCTTTAGGGAGTTTAATTATGAACCTTTTTTTAAACAGTTTTTAACAGTTTGTTTAAATTATTTAATTGATTTTGTGGTAAAAATTAACTTAAAACATATTTTAAACAAAAAACACTTAAACAAATTAAAGATTCGTTTTACTTGATTATGAAGCATTTAAGGTAATTTTATTTATATTTTTTATTTAATTTTGTTGTTGGTTTTAATATATTTTTCCTGTACTTCTGGGAACTTTTAACTGATATGAACATTGTTTTTATAAATTTTAATATTTTTTTAAGTTTTTTTGTACAATTTTACCCAGTGTTTTAAAAATAAGTGATTAGACTGTTTAATAAAGTTGCTAAAGAAGGGGAAGTGGGTTAAATGTTTGAAATCAGACAGTTTATTTTAAGACCTAACAATGATTCATTTCGGGAAGAAGCAAAATCGTCCCAGTAAGGAAATTGTTTAATTATAAACAAGTAAAAAGTTCAATGATTTGTTTTAAAATGAAAGTAAAACAATAACATTTAAAATAAATTCACAATAACCTTTTTTTCAAAAAGCTTTTTTTAAAGCTTCTTTTTCCCAAAAAGCTTTTTTAAGAATTCTCTAAGTCTTTTTAAGTTTAAAAGCTTTTCTAAACATTTTAGATAAAAACTTTTTTAAGCACTTTGAAATAGGAAGCTTTTCTAAGCTTTTAAAGCATTATAAAAGCTTTCGTACAAAAAAGCTCTTCTAAGCCTTTTCACAAAAAAGGTTTTGAAAGTTTTTTATAAGAACATTATTGAAGCTTGTTTACAAAAAAGCTTTTCCAAATTTTTCTACTAAGATTTCTTTCAAAAAGCTTTTCAAAGGACTAAAGCTTTTAAAGTCTTTTTTTACAAAAATGCTTCTTCATAAGAAATTTCTTAGCCTTTTAAAGCTTTAAAGCTTTATACAAAGCTGTTTTAAGCATTTTGAAATATAAGCATTAGTAAAGCTTTTAAAGCAAAATGCTTCTCTATTTGTGTAAAAAGCAGCCTTTCGAAGCTGTTTGATTGAATCTGAATGATTTCTATGTTTTTGTATAAAACAATATCTTGCTTACAAAAACACTTTTCTACTAAATTGCTAAAAAGCTTTTCTAAGCTTTTTCTACTAAAAACCAGTTTTAAGTTTTTTTTTATTAAACGATTTTCCAAGGTTTTCGACAAAAAAAAAAAAAAAACTTTTCTAAATGCTTTTAAAAAATGTTTTTACTAAAAAGCTTTTCTCATAGTATATTTACTAAAAAGCTTTTCCTAGTATTTTTTTCAAGCTTTCTTACCAAAAAACTTTTCCTAGCTTTTTTATTAAAAGCTTTTCCCAGCTGTTTTTACTAAAAAGCTTTACCCAGCTTTTCTACTAAAAAGCTTTTTCCAGCTTCTTTATTAAAAAGCTTTTCCCAGCTTTTTTACTAAAAAGCTTTTTTACTAAAAGGCTTTTCTTTTTTACTAAAAGGCTTTTCTTTTTTACTAAAAAGTTTTTTCCAAGGTTTTCGACAAAAAAACTTTTCCAAATGCTTTTAAAAAGTGTTTTTACTAAAAAGCTTTTCATAGTATATTTACTAAAAAGCTTTTCCAAGTATGTTTTCCAAGCTTTTTTACCAAAAAACCTTTCCCAGCTTTTTTACCAAAAAACCTTTCCCAGCTTTTTTACTAAAAAGCTTTTCCCCAGCTTTTTTACTAAAAGCTTTTCCCAACTTTTTTCACTAAAAAGCTTTACCCAGCTTTTCGACTAAAAAGCTTTTCCCAGCTTTTTTACTAAAAAGCTTTTCCCAGCTTTTTTTACTAAAAAGCTTTTCCCAGCTTTTTTTACTAAAAGCTTTTCCCAGCTTTTCTACTAAAAAGCTTTTTCAAGCATTTTTACTAAGAAGCCTTTCCAAGACTTTTTACTAAAAAGCTTTTCTTATCTTTTGTACTAAAAAGCTTTTCAGTAAAAAAGCTTTTCAGTAAAAAAGCTTTTTAGTAAAAAATTCTAAAGAAAATTTTCCAAAAAGCTTTTTTTTACGGACAATTTAAAACCTCTTAAACATTTCTAAAAACAACTGGATAAAATGTCTTTCTATTTCACGACAACAACTTGAAAACAAAATTATTTTGCACATTATTTTTTTTATTAACAGTAAAAGCTGATTTGGATTTAAAACTAAAGTTAATCAGACAATCAAAATACAATTAAAGAAAATCAAAATCTATATTCTCAATTAGACATTTAAAGGTTGTTTTACAAAACGAATATGATCAATCCATCGTACATTAAATGCACAACAAAAGACAAAGAAAAATGTTTGTTTCAACTTATAACTAGAAAATTAATAATTAATACATTCAATATGTATGTATATGTGTATCTATATATGTATAATAAATTGGTAAAAATATGCCAATTAATAATAAAAAAAGTTAAACGTTATAAAAGAAACATATTTATATAATAAACACATACGCTTCATATACGTATCTATAATTTCAAGGGGGAGGAAGAGGGGGGGACGACCACTTATTTTTGTTCAACTTAACTTAAATATTATGAGAAATATTACACATTATCTTTTAATCAGTTATCATTATAAAAAACATATATATAAAAATATTTAAAACAAACGAAAAAAAATAGAAAATAAAAAAAAGAAGATATTTCTTTTTAAGCATTGTTAGTTCTTAAGAGTAGCCTGTGGTTTCATATATTATTGAAAAATATTTACTTAACACTTTAATTGAAAAGGTTTTGGGTTGTTATAAAAAATAAAAGAAAAACAAATATAAATTTCAATTTATATAAAGTTATATGTACCAGAAAAGAAACTATTGAAACGACTTTGTAAAAAAGGGGAAAAAATTAAGAATTATGTTGAAACTTAAAAACTAGAAGATAATAAAAAAAATGTTTACCTTTTTGTTTTAAACATCATTACACTCGTACAGGTTACAAATTTCATGATGATGTGAATACCTTATTTTGTGTAAATCTATTTGCGACTTCGGTAGAGCACCTTCATCATCTTCATCATAATCATCATCATCGTCGAAAACAGTTTTTAGCAGAGGCCGAGGATTTTGAGAATGATGTGAGGAGAGCAGTTTCGCTTTATTTAACGTGTTGATGTTGTTGTGTGATGTCTGAAGTTTAACTACCACCACTACTACTACTACCACTAGTACTACTATTATCAATGAGGGACGATTTTTTTACAGGAGTAGCCTCGTTCGTATCTTTACCAGATGCTACAAACATTTTAATTAAACGCTTTTTTGTTAATGTTTGGTCTTTTTTAATGTACCTTTACTTTTGTTATTTGAGGTTGTCGCTGGTTTTTTGACTGGCGTTGTTGCTTCTTCGGATGAGCCGGCATCGGTTAGTGATTTCCTTTTTGCAGCTCTTTCGCCTCGAGAAGCTTTTGATGTAGACGGTGTAGGTGTAGGTGTTTCCTAAAATAAATAAATCAATTTTAAAATAAATTTTGTTAAGCTTTTTCTCAAAAAAGCTTTATCAAGGAATTTCTTTTCTATACAAAAACCTTTTCCATAGAATTTTTTCTATTTTTTTTTTTTTTGAAATAAAAGCTTTTTAAAGAGATGATTTTTTACATAAAATAGTTATATTGAAAAGCTTTTTAATATCAACAATTTTTTGTAAAACACATTTCTATAGAACAATTTTTTTGTGGAAAAGCTTTTTAAAGAAATTATTTTTTAGTAAAAGTTTTTTTTATTAAAAAGCTTTTTATATGAATGGTATTTATTGAAAAGCTTTTTTATATGTATTTTTTATTTAAAAATCTAATTTAAAAAAGCTTTATTGTATTTTTTTATAAAAAAGCTTGTTTCAATATTTTTATTAAAAGCTTTTTTAGAAATGTTATACATTAAAGCTTTTTTTGTTATTTTATTAATAAAAGCTTTTTTGTAGAACAGATTTCTATAGCTTTTTAAGGAAAATGTTTTTGGTAAAAGCTTTTTATAAGAAGGCAATTTTAAACGAAAGTTTTTTATTAAAAAGCTGTATTTCAATGTTTTCTATAAAAAAGCTTTTTAAAAAAAAGCTTTTTCAAGCATGTTGATATAGGAAGCTTTTATAAACTCTTAAAACAACATAAAAGCTTTCGTACAAAAAAGCTCTTGTAGCCTTTTCACAAAAAGGTTTGCATTTAAGTTTGTTTACAAAAAAGATTTGAAAAAAAGCTTTCTTTTTACAAAAAAAGCCTTTCAAGCTAAAAGGCTTTTCTAAGCTTTTAAAGAAAAATGCTTCTCTACATATGAGCTTTTCTAAGATTTTAAGAAAAGCTTAAGATTTCTTTTTAAAAAAGCCATTCAAGCTTTTTGAAATAAAAAGCTTTTCTAAACTTTTAAAGAAAAATGCTTCTCTATATGGGAAAAAATATTTCTAAGCTTTTGTATAAAAACTATATCTTGCATACAAAAACACTTTTCTACTAAATTCCTAAAAAGCTTTTCTAAGCTTTTTCTACTAATAACCAATTTTAAAGTTTTTTTATTAAAAGGTTTTTTCAAGGCTTTCGACAACATTTCGAACATTTTTACAGAAAAGCTTTTTCATTAAAAACTATTACAGAACTTGCTATAGAAAATCATTTTATAGAATACCTTCTCATAGAAAAGCTTTTTATTGAACATGTTCTTGTACAAAAACTTTCTCACAAAAGCTACTTTTCATAAAAGCTTTATTAAGTAATGTAATAGAAAGAAAAGCTTTTAAAAAAACGCTTTCTACAAAAAAGCTTTTAAAATCTTCACTTTTTATACAAAGCTGTTAATTTCCTACTGGGAACTTAAAAAGTTACAAAAAAACCTCTTCATTTTATAGAAAAAGTTTTTCACATCTTAGAGGGAACTCAAATAGTTGATAAGACAACTCCATAAGTAATAAATGATCATCGTCCCAAAATAAATATGGATCGTATAAAATCCTCTCTAAATCCCTAATTCCAACTTACTTTTTGAGGTACAATTTTAGATGATCTAGATGTGGTTGGTGTTATTGGCGATGCAGCTCTTGCCTTAGCTAAAGGTGACCTTTGTGCACGTGGCGTTGTTTTCGATGCACTTGTCGCATTTAGAGATGATTTCTTTTGCGTAGGCTTATACTCAACATCCGATTCAGCATCATCTGAGGATTCGTCATCTTCGTCATCATCGCTATTGCCCAACTTCTTCTTGCGTTTAAGTAAAGTTTTTCGTTTTTTAGCCGACGATTTACGTGAACTGGACGAGGTCGCTGAACTAGCCGCACGTTTACGTTTATTGGCTGCGGACGTTGAGGGCGTAGCAGCTGTGGTGTTTGATTTACGGGCTGATGAGGCAGCAGCGGTGGTAGTTCTTCTAGATTTTCTACTAGCTGCCGTTGAAGGTGTTTGACTTTCGCTACCCTCTGCTAAAGAGGATTTCTTTTCAATTTGAGATTCATCTTTGAAGAGGGATATATCAACTGAAAAAAAAATAATTAATAGTAAATGCTTAAGTGAGTTTTACAAAAATACTTACGACCATCAGGATTTTCCTCGGTTAATTCTGGTCTTGGTACCAAACCTTTCTCCACATCTATAGCCTTCTTTAGTATGCTTTCAATGCGATTTCTTTCGGCTTTGGGCAAACGTAAGTGTCCCTTATCGATACGCTTCAGTTCAACCGTTGTTAGCACACACTCAATATCGGTGTGATCATAGAAATCCGGTATAAAAACATTGCTGTCTTTAGTATCCTCCGACAGCCAACGAATGCTTATGCGCGGTGAGGTGCGATAAACATTTTGCATTGTTTGGCACAAATAGAATGTACCCTCAGCATTGCGTACGGCCATGTATTCATTTTTATAGAATACAATTAAACGATCCTCATTCGACATGGGTTTGGGCGAATTGGAAGCCTCACTGGCGGACAGCTTGGTTATGTAGGCCAATTCCGGAAGAGGACTTTGGTAGAGTATTGTCTTAAGACGATGACGTTTTGATTTACGATCCGAATCATCATCGTTAGGTGTTGAGGGTGTGGAATTTGATGCAATTAAAATGTCGGCTGTTTTAAGTTTTCGTTTGACACGAGTAGTTGTAGCTGCTGGTTTTTCTTCTTGTGTTTCTGGGGTTTTAGTTTCTACTACAGGAGTAGCGGCTGTAGCAGCGGCTGTAGCAGCGGCTTTACTTTTAGCTCCTTTACCTAGACGACCAAATTTTTTGACAGGTGTCGAAGCTGCTGTTTCTTTTTCTTTTTGTGTTGTTTCATTAGTATCCTTAACACTATCTTCAGCATTTGATTTGCTGTTTGCTACTGCTGTTGTTGTTGTTTTTGCAGTAGTTGTAGTTTCAGCCTTTTCAGTCGATTTAATCGATTTTGCAGTTTCCTCTTTCTCCTTGGGAGCAGTTTCTTTAATATTATCTTCTGGTGTACTTTCCTTGGATGTTTTTGTTGGTTCCTTTTCCTCGACAGTTGCAACCTGTTGTTTTTCCTGATTTTTAGCTGGCACACTTTCCACTTTATCTTTTTTACTGTTTACTTCTAACGAAGTTTTAACATTGTTCTCCTCTTTTCCTGTAGATTTGACAGCGAGCGTTTGTGTTGTTGTTGTGGGTGTTTTTGTTTCTACGGCAGTGTTTGACTTGTCCGTTTCTTTTTCAGTTTTTTGTACATCTTTTAAGGGGACGCTTTTTTCTCCATCTTCTACTTTAGTTGGTGATTTGGTAGTTTTAATTGTTTTATCTTTTTCTTTATCTACAACTTTTTCTTTACTTTCCGTTTTTTTGTCTTCTGGGGAATTCTTGATTTGATTAGAATCATCTGTTACTTTTTTGTCATCAGTTTTAGGTGCTTCCGTTTGTTTGGGAATGGCTGCTGCTGCAGTTGGTGTAGCGGGAGTGCTAGACTTTTCATCAACAGTTGAAGTTTTCTCCTAAAATAAGAAGTTTTAAGAAGTGTTAAAATGTTTTATAGAAAAACTGTTAAAAATAATAAATTTTTTAAAAAAGGTACTTTTTAAAAATGTATTCTAAAAAAGTACTTTTCTGAAAAAGGTTCTTTTTAAAAAATTTACTTTTCTAAAAAAATATACTTTTTAAACCCGCTTTTCAAAAATGTATTTTAATCGCTTTCAAATAATTTAAACCACCTTCTTCTTATTACCTTTTCTGTTGCTTTCTTAGCATCCGCTAATTTCTTTTCGCTTTCACTGATCTCTTGATTATCCGTTTTATTTGCTTTGACAATAGCTTCTGGTTTTTCTTCTGTCACTTTTGATGCGAGTGGTAATGGTGCAACCGTTGTTACCGGATTTGAAGTAGTATTGGTAGCAGTAATTGATTTTAAATCATTGACGTTCTTCTCCATAGATTCCTTTAACTCCAAGGCTGGTGCAGCCGGTTTGTTAACTGTTAGTGGTGTTGGTGCTGTTGCCGCATCTAATTTCATATCTTTCGGCTTGTCTGTCTCCTTTTTATTGCTGTCAATAGCAGAAGCTAAACTTGACTCTGTTGTTGGTTTATTGCTGTCATTTGAAGCTGTTTTGACAGGTTCTTTTTCAGCATTTACAGTTTTAAGTGGTACTTTTGGGGGAGACAATTCATCCAAAGCTGGTTTAGCAGCACCTGTTGGTTTTGTTGCAACAGCATTAGTTGCCGGTGTAATGGTAGCCGAGGTGGTAGTGGAGGTGTTAATGGGTCCAACTGTTGGAGTAGTGGTAAATGTATTAGTAGCACTAGGTGTTTGTGCTGTTGTTGCTGCTGGTAATGCTGTTGTTGTTGGTATTGTAGATTTAAGTGGTGAAACCATGGTTGTAGTAGCTCCTGTTGTGTTAGTTGTTTTATTGCCCATCGCAGCTGTAGTGGCCGTTGAAGGCATTTGTTTTGTCAATTGTACCGGTGTAGATTGTGGTGATTTCAAAGCAGCCACAGTAACATCCGCAGTGTTTGCAGCACCAGTCTTGGCGGGACTAGTAGTATTGCTAGTTGCTGTATGTGTAGCGCCATGTGTTGATTTTGGTAAATTTTGTGAATGTCCCGCCGAATGTGCCAAGTGTGGTCCTTTAGCTCCCGCACCGCCACCAGTATTTGTGGGTGGTGTGAATTTATTTTGCTGGTGTGCAACACTTGGTCCTGTTGTTGTCGGTTTCGATGGCGTTAATGATATGGATGGTGGTGGGCCTTGATGTTTAGAGCCAGAGCTGGTATTTGTATTGCCGGTAGACATTTTGGGATGAGGACCGGCCGATAAATTGCCACCGGCAACATTAGCTGCAGTTACTGGTGTTATTTGGGTATTCGGTGGCAGATTTGGTGGCTTCATTTGGTTGGTCAAAGGCGGTGGTGGTGGAGGAGTAGCAGAACTCATTTTATTGCCACTCACCGCTGCCGCCTGAGCTGCCGCAGCTGTAAGGTAACGTGATAGAGCATTCTGCTGCTGTTGTTGCTGATGTTGATTCTGATGCTTCTGCTGTTGTTGTTGCTGCTGCTGTTGGTGAGACATTGCAGTTGTGGTAGGTGGCGGAGGCGGTACACCCTGTACCGGTTGCTGTTGACCATGGCCATGTTGACCCTGACCGCCACCGTGCTGTTGTTGTTGCTGCTGCTGTTGCATTTGCTTGGCCTGCATCTGGTATTGGAACAGCTGTACAAAGTTTGTGGGTAAGGCCTGTAATGTTTGTTGTAGCTGATTAAAAGCGGGATTGGCAGCTGGATTACCATTGGCCTGCTGTTGATAGGTTTTATTCAACAGCTCCGCTGCTCCCGCTGTACGTGTTAAAGATAAAGGTTCACCACTGCCACCAGGCCCACTACTACCCGGACCGGCAACACCTCCCACACCGGCTACACCACCTACTGGGCTAGGACCTACACCTCCGCCCATATTGTGGTGTTGATGTTGTTGTTGCTGATGCTGTTGTTGCTGCTGCATTTGATGTTGAAACTGTAAGAATTGCTGCTGTTGCTTCAACATACTCTGTATTCTTTGCTGCTGCAGAAAAGCATTTATGTCGGCCTGTGCTGACTGTGGTATGGCATTTTGACCATGTACTAAATTCTGCATTTGTTGCTGTATGCCAGCAGCAAATGTTTTTGCTACCTGTGGCATATTGTTGGGACCATTGGGCGGTCCTCCGCCCATGCCACTGCCACTCGAACCAGGTGGTTTTTGATTGTAACTCATTTTGTCATTCAATTTAATTTGTGTTCGTTATGAAAAGCACTGGAAATAAGAAAACAAGTAAAATAATTATTTAGATTTATTTTTATTGCTGAATGTATGTATTTTTATACATATTGTGCTGTTATTAAACACATCGTTAAGTTAACATCATGTTTTGTTACGTCGTTTTTTTATTATGATTCACTACTTCCATTTTTCTCTGTGTGTGATGGTGGCATGAGCCAGGTTGCAAGTTATAGGCCAAGGTTTACAGTAAACAAAAAAAAACAATAATAAAAACAATGTGCTCCGTATACTTTCGTTTGTATGAGTGTTCAAGTAACACAATGAATATATTTTAATACATAAAAAAAAACATTTTTGTGAAAAACTAGTTCAAATTGATATGTTTTCCTTCTGTGCCCGATATTAATACAAATGATAATAATGTTGGTTGGTAACATAATGTTGCCGTATGTTGAACTTGTTAGTAAAACAAAATTGTTCAAATTATTCAGGATTGAGGGAAAATTATACATTTATACTTCATTTAACAACCTGAATATTTAAGACGACAATGGAAGACTAGACTATATACTAGACTATAGACTAGACTATAGACTAGACTATAGACTAGACTAGACTAGACTATAGACTAGACTATAGACTAGACTATAGACTAGACTATAGACTAGACTATAGACTAGACTATAGACTAGACTATAGACTAGACTATAGACTAGACTATAGACTAGACTATAGACTAGACTATAGACTAGACTATAGACTAGACTATAGACTAGACTATAGACTAGACTATAGACTAGACTATAGACTAGACTATAGACTAGACTATAGACTAGACTATAGACTAGACTATAGACTAGACTATAGACTAGACTATAGACTAGACTATAGACTAGACTATAGACTAGACTATAGACTAGACTATAGACTAGACTATAGACTAGACTATAGACTAGACTATAGACTAGACTATAGACTAGACTATAGACTAGACTATAGACTAGACTATAGACTAGACTATAGACTAGACTATAGACTAGACTATAGACTAGACTATAGACTAGACTATAGACTAGACTATAGACTAGACTATAGACTAGACTATAGACTAGACTATAGACTAGACTATAGACTAGACTATAGACTAACTAGACTATAGACTAACTAGACTATAGACTAACTAGACTATAGACTAACTAGACTATAGACTAACTAGACTATAGACTAGACTATAGACTAGACTATAGACTAGACTATAGACTAGACTATAGACTAGACTATAGACTAGACTATAGACTAGACTATAGACTAGACTATAGACTAGACTATAGACTAGACTATAGACTAGACTAGACTAGACTATAGACTATAGACTAGACTATAGACTAGACTATAGACTAGACTATAGACTAGACTATAGACTAGACTATAGACTAGACTATAAACTAGACTATAGACTAGACTATAGACTAGACTATAGACTAGACTATAGACTAGACTATAGACTAGACTATAGACTAGACTATAGACTAGACTATAGACTAGACTATAGACTAGACTATAGACTAGACTATAGACTAGGCTATAGACTAGACTAGACTAGACTAGGACTATAGAACTAGACTATAGACTAGACTATAGACTAGACTAGAGACTAGACTTAGACTAGACTATAGACTAGACTATAGACTAGACTATAGACTAGACTATAGACTAGACTATAGACTAGACTATAGACTAGACTATAGACTAGACTATAGACTAGACTATAGACTAGACTATAGACTAGACTATAGACTAGACTATAGACTAGACTATAGACTAGACTATAGACTAGACTATAGACTAGACTATAGACTAGACTATAGACTAGACTATAGACTAGACTATAGACTAGACTATAGACTAGACTATAGACTAGACTATAGACTAGACTATAGACTAGACTATAGACTAGACTATAGACTAGACTATAGACTAGACTATAGACTAGACTATAGACTAGACTATAGACTAGACTATAGACTAGACTATAGACTAGACTATAGACTAGACTATAGACTAGACTATAGACTAGACTATAGACTAGACTATAGACTAGACTATAGACTAGACTATAGACTGGACTATAGACTAGACTATATACTACACTATATAGACTATAAACTATAAAGCAGATTAAATTTTCCACGGATTAAATAAATTAAATAAATTTTCCACGGATTAAATAAACTAGAAACCCTGCGAACTGTTAACGAGATTAGTACCCTAACGGATTATGTTTTCCTCTTTAAATCATAAAATTTCCAATTTCATATTTTCAACAGAACAAAATTTAATAAGTTATAGCAGCAGTTATATTCACACCTAAAGACAACTATTCCCAAGCATCTGGCAATACTCAGCAAAAGTAATATAGACATCTATCCATCTAATACATACAAACTTAAATTCTTGGACATTAGAAGAAGCGTTAGAGAGACGAAATACGAAGAAATGTGGAAAAATAGTTCAAATAACCACAATATCAAAAAAAAAACACACACACACACGAAATAATGTTACCTGTATTTATATGGAAACGATATAGACAAAAACATAACTTACCTGTACACAAGGTACAAATATTTATAATCTAATTTTAGTTAATATTTGTATTTGCAATTTTACTCTCTAATTTCTCTGTCTCTCTTCTAAAAACCTAAACACTCTCAGTTACACTGCAATATTTGGAAAATAAACACAAATTTCATTTTATTTCTCATTTCACTGGGTGTGAAATGAAGTAATTTTGCAAATGATGACGTACAAACATGTAAATTAAAAACGATTTATTTTAACAACGATTAGTGCCAATAAAAATCAACAATAACTATAGACTACAACAACTAAATCAATGCCTAGTGCTGTTGTTGATGACAACAACAGCAACCATTTAAGATATACATTTTGAAAGAGTGTGTTTGGGACTTTTTTCGAAAGAATTGCCTGCTTAGCTTTATTGCCAAACTTCATATAGAAAGATTACACTTATATAGTAAGTATTGTAGTATTTCGTGTGTTGTGTTCAAAAATATAATTCCAACACTTCACTCTTCTTCACTCATTTACACTCTTTTGCAAAATAAAAGAAATACTTTTGGATACAATGTATATTCTGTACTAAATGCTTGCCTGTATGTTTTACAGTATGTATGTGTGTGTGTGTGTTTGGTTTTTTGCCGCCTTACCATGCCTCCTCTGCTATATAAAATTTTTGAGTAGTGTAGTGCACGTTCAACGAACTTTTGTTTATGATATTTTGTTATTGTTGTTTTTTTTTATTTTCTTATATTCTGTGATTTGTTGTTTTATTATTTTTTTTTCTATTGTAATAAGAGGCTCACTATTATATTAGACACTTCCTCCAACGTCATAGTGTTTTCTTGAAAAGAAATACTTTTGCCAAATATACCAAATTCTATGTGTAACAGGGTTTCTTAATGGGAGTGAATAAATTTATAAATTTTGTGTAAAACTGAAAGCTTTATGGAGAAATAACCTTGCAAACACATTAATTCTTTAGTTTTTATCAGGAGAACCTAGAATTTATAACACCAATAGAATTTTGCAGTAGAGACATGTAAATTGAATTTGAACAATTGTTTGAGTGTTTTAACTAATGGACCCAATGTGGATTTTGATACAGAGTTGAAATGTATTTGGCAATACAAGAACAAGTCCTGCAGACTTCCAAACAAATGTAGTATCTTTCAGGTCTAATCTTTAGAACCAGACAACACTTGTATTTGGTAGACAGCAAGAACAGGTTCTACATACTTCCGAACAAATGTAGTACCTTTCAGACTGAGATCTTTGAGATGTTGAAAGTTGTAGGGTGATCTAATCTTTAGAACCAGACAACACTATCAAGAGGCAGACATATGAACATAACTAGATCGTCTTAGAATCTATTAATGCCCCATTATATACATACATACAGAATTGTGTGGGTCTACGACCAATATTTCTAATCAGGGAAATCTATTATGAGATAGAAGTAGATACAGAATGATACTTAATAAAGATGTCATTTAGGTTTTATACCAAATCCACTTCCCCGTAAAAAATATACTAAAAATAATTTTGATTCAATAAGTATTCTCTTCTCCATTTGGCGCTAAAAGGGAGCACATAGACTTAGAAATTATACGCCCAGTAAAGACGAAAAAAGACAACTGTTTGTATATTTTTACTAATGGATCTAATGGGAATTCAGATACAGTTACAGGAGTGTATTTGATAGCTGTACTATACAAGAACAAGTCTGACAAACTTCCGAGAGAATGTAATGCTTTTTAGACAGAGATCTAAGAGTTCTAGAATATCGTTGGGAGGTCTAAACTTTATGACTTTAAAATGTTAATGTATTCAGCACTTAGGATATCGTTGGGAGGTCTAAACTTTATGACTTTAAAATGTTAATGAATTCAGCACTTAGGTCTTTAATATGTCAAATTATACAGTATTAGTTTAGTGACCGGCTACAAAAGAGGTTACAAAGCATTAGTGATAATAAACACAAGTAAATTGTGTACTAGGACACCGTAATATATGGGATAATGTCAAAAGGGGATACAAATCAAGGTCATAAATATGTGACAGAAATTGCTGAAAAAATGTTTTCATTATAAGCTAGGTTATACCATAACCAACTTCTTGATTTGATCAGATGATTAAAAATGTTAAGTTCTCAAAAGGGACCGACTTTTACTTTCATCTACTTGAATGGTAATTCAATACTTCACTCTTTAACAATCTTCTAGTTTATCAATGGGCCCCTTGTGTACCTTAAATAAGTGCTTCCCAAAGTTGTTTGTTCTTTCTTTTATAAAGATCAAATTAGTTTTTAATAGAGACTAATCATTTATCATAAATTGATGTTATTGATTGGCAACGATTGTGATTCAAACCAAGAGCTCGTTTTTCAAATCATGTTTAGTGATCAACGTGTTAACTACTTAAGCTACTGCTTTACGGATCCCTTGAGGAATATATTTCATCTCGAAAGCCTCAATAAACATTTTAATGTCTAATGTTTTTAATAACTTTTTTAAAAGCTAAATATTGTTTATTTTTCGCATATCTTTATGCGAATATATCTCTTAGGGTATCCTTATTTGGGAACCATTCCCTTAGAGTACACATCCCTTTTAAACTAGATTGATTAACAGTCTATGAGAAACATTTATACGGATCTTTTAGTGTTTTAAACATAAATAGAAATGGAATGTAGTAAGGTCCCGAAATTGGTCTACGAGCAATATTTCGATGTATTACAAATGAAATGACAAAATCATTACACCCTAATCTTATTGATGAAAAAATTTCGACCATTAATTCCAATTTTATTTCGTATAATCAAACATAGTATGCGTTCATTAACGCCAAATTCCAGTCTTATACAGATTACAGGAACTAGTTCATAATTTCGTTACAAATGTTCATCTAAATTCATATTTAACGAGGCAAATAAACAACAAACTTCTCTTTTATATGTCTATTTTCTTTATAAATTATTATATGTAATGTTTTTCCTATTATTCTTGTTAAAATAAAATTAACTAAATATTTAAAGAAAATACTTTTATGAAAAAACTTTATTAACCAAACATATGTACATATGTATTTGCCCACGTTGAACACAACTCAGCCAAAAACCAAGTAATATTCAACGCAATCATACATCCATCATTTGTTTAACCTAATGAATTTCTCTTTAAAAACTTTGCCAATCAAGTTTAAATTAAATTGTATAACACACAAGATTACAATGAGATAAAATAATAAAACGTTTAACCCTTTTTTTTTGACATCTCTCTGCTGTTCATAGTCATGTGAATGAATGGTTAGATGGATGTGGATGGATGTCTGAACAAAGCTGCTCTCATTCACCACAGATTCGCACAATACTCTTTTGATTTTTTCCTTTAAAAAAAAAAGCTATGAAATCCATAAACTGATATATGTAACTCTCAGTTATAGTGTGGTGGTGATGATGATGATGGTGTTGTATTGTAGCTTGTGGCGGGTATATTGGTGATGATGGTAATGGTGTTACTATGATTCGTGTGGTTCGTTTTTTGTTGGTATATAGAACGACGACGTTTATTCCTATACAATTTTTATTGTATAAGCATTCACACACAATTAAAATAAAGCCTCTGCAAGAAGAACAACATTGTAAAAAAAATGGAATGTGCAGGACAGCACAGCAAAAAAATGCCGGCATCCTTAGTGACACAGAAACAGAAAACTATTAACTAAAGAAAAAAAAAATCAATGTTGTTTTAAACTGTATTTTTTTGTTTATTTGTTTTAAGTTTTCTCTTATGTTACACACATGCTATGGTTATAATGAAGGACTGACTCTGATTGTTTGAGTTTCTTTAAAAGATTGTTTAAAAATACAAACAACAACAAAAAACTACACATTTTGCCAATACGTATAGAGTTTGTATTTAAAATATGTCAAGAATTTTAACGAAAATTGTTGTTTTGTTTAACAGTTTTTATTAATTTCCCACGTATTTAATAAAACTTAAAGTTTAAAAAGGAATCATATTATGGCAAACGGGATAATTTATGTAGAATTAATTAAATAGTTTAATTTAAATGCTTAAAGTGTTCGTGTAATTAGTAACTTATCATTGTTGGTAGTAAATTACAATAGTAAATATAGGAAATATAACAACAATTATAAAAATTTTAAAAACATAACATTTAAAAAGTCTTAAACAGTAATACAACTATACCAACAATATAAATGAGTCGTAAACTTTGTAACAAAATTTTAGCAAACAAACAAGGGGACAAAACTGTTCCATATGAAAGACCCAGAAACAGAAACCTAATCACAACACTAGTTTTCTTGACATCAGGTGATATGTTTAGATCTAAGACCGCATTGGATTATAAAAAAGCCTAAATAGAACACTTTCACGGAGGTAAACTTTGCATCACATGAGTACCAGGGTACTCAGGAGTAGTCACCAACCAAAGAGCTAAGCTCGAAATAAGCCCTCCGTAAGGTTTCTTAGAATCATGAAACGGTGAATAGAACCAAAAAGTTTCTATAGGGTGACCCCAACGAGAAGCTTAACCTAATCTTAGTTAACTAAAATTTCATTTATTTTACGGCCATTTATAAGAACTTATTTATACTAATCAATCAAACAATCCATTTTTAAATAGACAATACACTAAAAAAAGCTTTCTTTTATATTTAGAACTCGTTTCTTTGTCAAAGTTTATTATTAGTTTTGAAAAACATCCGGTTTAAGTTTAAAAAAAAATCAAACTATTAATTAATTTTAATAGTTTTACACCTTTTTAAGCAACTTATTTAATAGCATTTAAACATTTGGTTTGTATATTTAGAAAAACTAAAAAAAAGACTTTATCAATTTCTTTTCGCGCCATAAATTATTGCCAAACAGTGCTCTGCTTGAGACCTTTGCTTGCCATTGTTTTCGTTTATTTTTCTATAGTTTTTCTTAAAGCTTTTTGATTATTTACTATTGGGGTATGGTTTTTGATCTTCATTATTTTCCTTATCTTACTTTGAAATCACTAGATAACTTATTATTTTGTTAGAATTTCAAATTGTTATTCTATTAATATACTAAATTAGTTTAGATTTTTTTCCTTATCTTAAACATTATCGATCATGAACTTGATCTAGTATCCATGTGTTAATTTGGAAGGGGCATACCAGGAATAGATGGCATTAAAGTTGGTGGACTGCCATGCTTATATTTAAAGTACATATTAAAAATTATCTTATATATTAGGAAACTACGATTTGATCTCCAGTTCTGATATTTCTTTTTATGTTTTTTCATACTTTGTGGTTGAATATGTAGGATTTACACAAGGAATGGGAAGAGTGGTTGGCATAAACTTTCATATCGTTAAAATATCCCTACTTCCACTGTTTTAGATCTAATTTAGAACTTGGAATAAACTTTCATATCGTCAAAATACCCCATCTTAAACTTTTTAGACATAATTTAGAACAGGTATGTATTCTTGGAATAAATAGGACAAACACATGCCAATAATCTGGCCATTAAAGAATCCTGACGAATCTTAACCAATTTTTGGAATCCTCCATGGATTTTTATGGAAAGTTTTTAAACGATCATGGACCATAACAGAGCTCAGACAGACGAAACTATTTCTAACATATTTATAAACACATTGCTCTGGGACTCATAACACGGTTAGCCAGATTTGTCTACTGAAATCATGATTATCTATATAGTAGGCCTGAAGGGAATGTTTACACAACTTAGCAAGTAGGAATGAGTTCTATACGTGATTTCAACTTACAGGGAACTAAAATACTGTTCAAAATACCAAGTTTATGGCCCTTAGTCACTATTATATCTCATAGAATATATGACAGCTCATAACAATCCTGGAATAGTAATGTGGATTGCATATAAAATTTGCTTTGGAAATAGGTAGTTATCATATCTACATTACTAATGAGATCACACAATTATTTTTAACATGATTTAGCAAATTCCTTTTAAAAGAATAAATTGTCAACAATATTTCAACAGAAAAAAAAAGAGCGGCAATCTAAATCTCTAACCCAACAATCTCATTCTTATCTGGCAACATTCAAAACACCTCAACACACAAAAAAAAGGTCGGTCAGTCGTCGCTAGTTACAGTCACACAATTAAATGGAAAAACACCACAAACAATAATACTACCACCACAGCCGATATGTGGTTTAAATTGGCACAAGTCAATAGCACAAACATATGTATGTACATACTCTTCAGCAAGCTGGAAGAGCTAAAACAATTATTAATTACTTTTATTTAAAAATCAAGGAAAAAAAACGGGGTAAATTCTATATAATACTAATATTTATCAATACGGGAATATATAGATTTTTTTTAGCTAAAGTTGTCTAACCAAAAAAACAGATTCAAATAAATAAAACGGGAACAGAGTTTAACAAGAACCAGCAGCAACACAGAAATTGACAATAATAAATCATTTGGCCTCAAAGTAAGTTTTTAGGTAGAAAAAAACCACATCACATACAACACACAACAATTGTACGATTGTGAAGTGGCGCGCGGCATTAGAAGCAGGAGATGGAGCAGCAGAAGCAACCTAAACATACATTTGCAAAAACAAACAAATACACAAGTCTCCATATACAGAACAAAACAACACACTTTTTGAAAAATATCAAGAGAAAACCAGAAAGTATAAACGGCTATGACAGACCATGTGTTACGCTACCATGGAGGTTTTTAAATGGAGGCTAGGACATCAAATGGTTGGGTTTCTACATGATTTAAGTGCGTAATGGTTTTCAATCCTCTATTATTGCTATTGTTGTAATAGTTTGAATGTGGACGATAGTTCTTTCTGGGGCGAAATATGTTGGCTTGATACAGCTTACGCTGATTTAACAATCTTTGGATGAGCCTCTATTGACAGCGAATGTCAGTTTCACCGCCCACAGTTTGAAAACGATTATGTGATGCTTCCAGGTGTTACAAGCTACAGCATAAACTCATAATACCCTCCTATAACCATCAGTTTGTATATAGCGTATAAACACACATAAAAATAAACACTAATACGCGGAAGCAGCAGCGGCAGCAAAAACCCCAAAAAAATATATAGAAAAAATAACTAAGAAAGCAAAAAAACAAGTAAGCGTCAATGTGGATCACTTAAAAACAGAGAAAATAATAAAAAATACATGAAAAAAACTTGTATAAAAACAAGAGGAGGTTGAACATGAAAACCAAAGCAACGCGCTCCATTTTAGCCTGCGTCAATGTGGCTAAAGTGGTCGCGCGCATTTTTTTTTTCTTACGACTACGTGTTTTTTTCTGTTTGTTACGGTGTGTTTTTATATAGAAAATCATGTTTTAAATTAGAAAAAACTTACATTTTTTTATTACAGTTGACCACTATACAAAATTTCTTCTTAAATTTTTGTTGTTTTTAATTAATGTTTAGTTTGTTGTTTTGTTAAATGACCGGTTTTTCTTAAAGACTTTTTTGTTGGTTTTTAAGTAAAAGTTTTTTTAACTGTTTGTTATATTAATGAAATATTGTTTTTTATTTTATTATAAAAGAAAAATCTTAGTTTTCTTTATTTTTCACTTTTTTCTTGTTAATTTTTTTATATTATTTGCTTGTGTTTGTTGTTCTTCTTCTGTTTAATAATGCTGCTTGATTATTACGTTCTTCATTATTATTTGCTTGTTGTTTCTCTCATTTCTTCTTCTGTGTTTTTCTCCGCTTAATAAACACACATTTATGCACAAACATATATACACAAGCTCTCTGAAACACACACGCACACACATACAAATATCTACATAACTACTGCGGCATCGTTTGTTGGGAGAAGAAAAAAATGTTTTCCTTGAATTATTCACTTGCAATTTTTCTTAATTAAACACTTGTTTTTCTTTAGATTTTTATGTTTTTTCGATAACTGACGCTTGCATTTACATTTTACAATAGATCTTAGTTATTTTACATTAAGTTAAATGTAAAAAATTTAAGTTTTTCTTAAGCGAGACGTGAAAACGAAATTTTTTCACAAAAATCCGAAAGTACACGAACACGATTGTTTCGAATTGCCAATTGTAAGCATTAGGTAACACATGGTTGCATTTTCTTTGGCTGCCCTATAAAAACACAGAGTTGTTATATTTATTGTTTGGGTAGTTGGTAACGCGTTGGCATTTAAGCGAACTGCCAGATTGTTTTGTTAAAGCTATTAACGGACATTAGTATATTTAAGAGATATATGATGAAATTTTTGTATTTAAATAAAATTTAATGAGAAAATTCAAAATTTAGTCTTAAATTAAGTATGTAGTTTAATAAACTGTAACAATTTACTTAAAGAAACCACTAACTAAACAGTAACACAGAACTTGCTTAAAAAAAGCATTATTATCTATAAAATTAGACATAAGTTTTATTGAAATCAAAATCTTTGTCAAAATTAATGAGCATCGGTCAATAATTTGCCCTATCCCCTATATAAGGTCTCCCTTAGAAAACGACTTAAACGTTCATAACTGACTTATAAATTAAAGTATAGCGACGAATTTTGAAATAAACAAACAAATGTAGCAATCAAAATTCTTCTACATATGGAGATCGGTTTACAATTGATCCATACCTCCATAATCAATTGATCGTAAACAAAATTTGGTGTTATAATAAAATTCGACAAAAATTATCTGAAAATTCAAAATGTACCAGAAAAAAAATGAAATTTTTAAAATAATCTTTAAATCATGGGAATCTATTAAAAAATAAAAATTATTGTTCTATTTAAGGTTGACATCTTATATTTTCCTAATTTAACGTTATAAATTATAAAAAAATTAAAATTTTCATGAATTTTTAATATTATAAAATGTCATATCGTTGAAGAATTGAAAAACATAGCTGAAAACTTTGACGGCTTGCTATTAATTTTAATCCGTCGCCGTAATTCAAAGTATTAAACGGCGTTGACATTATATTTTGTCGGCAAAAGTCTTTGCCGGTCGCATTATTATTTTTACCCAAAAAAAAAAAACTTGTTTTGTTGCAACAATAATAAACTACAATATCACAACAATGGCTCCACAACAGGTAAATTTACCCAATGAAGACCTCGATTGGATACAGATGCGCCAGGAATCTGGTCCAGTGTTTCCCGAATCAACCAAAGAAAAAATGATGCGTAAAATTAAGGAAAATCCCTTGGTGCCCATAGGTAAGTCGTATTTTGCAAATTATATAAGAAAAAAGAAAAATTACATTAAATATTTGAAACAAATTAATTGCTATTGCGTGTTTCTAATTCTTAATACATAGGTTGTCTTGCCACAGCCAGTGCCTTGGGTTTTGGTCTCTACAATTTCCGTACGGGCAATCGTAAAATGTCACAGATGATGATGAGAGCACGTATTTTAGCGCAAGGTTTCACTGTAGCCGCTTTAGTCACCGGTGTTGTGATGACTTATGGCAAAAAAGATTAGGGAGGGAGCTCTATAGTTATACCCATGGGCTGGTTCCTTTCGAACTATTAACTTTTTGTAGCTTTATAAATATTTTTTGAAGCAATAATAACTGTTTTATTTTTAGTTGTATTTAAGATTTTTCGGAAATAGAAAAGTATTGTTTTTGTAACACAATAATATTCGAAATAAATGTTTTGTAAATGTACTACCAATTTTCCCCAAAAAGTAAGTTTCAAGGTGTTTTTGATGGTGATGGTGTCATTAATTTAAAAGTATTCCATTGTATTATGCACGCTTTTTGAATACAAACTTAAAGTATACAAATCTAAACATAGGTGGTACCTTTATATTTTTATAACAATATCTAAAATTTTTCTTAAAAGAGGGGGACAGGGCAGAAAATATACAAGATGTTGGATTTGTTTGCTTTTTTAAGATTTATAAATTTTGACACAGTGACGAAATATAAACAATTATTTGTATTTGTTGTTGGTTTTTGTTAAATAGATAATCGATCAGTAAGTATGTGGTGTTTAATTAATAAAAAATTCCGTTCATTGATCATGGATCTCTATTTGTGTGTATTGCCGCAAGATACACGCGCCTCTCTATAACAATGAGAGCAAACTTAAAAATATTAGGGTGGTACCAATTAAATTTTCAATGTAAAAGTTTTTACTCGTTTATAACCAAAACAAGGTAGGTATGAGTTTTTGATATTTAAAGAAGTTGCTATAATGATGACTATTTGTAAGGCAACCTTAGATACTGTTTCAGGTCAATGACAGAGGAGATATTCCAGCATTTCTAATTGCCAGCCGTCTGTAGGAAAACTTTCGCCAAATTAATTCCAATCCCTTTTTAACATAACAGTTGTATAGATAAGCGCTACTTCAGAGATAGCGAAGAGTCTAAAGGTACAAACACTTTTCTTTAGAAGTTGGTTTGCTGCTGACTGACATTTTTGCATCATAAAGCATGAGTGACAGCTTTGTAGGAATTATGATGTAGACGAGCTTCTGGAATTATCGAATTGGAGAAACTTTCGCTATTCTTAAGTTTTGGGGATATGGCTTTGCACTTTGTGATATATGTATGCATAGCATAACAGGACATAGAAAGGAAGGATCTATGGTCCATTTTATCCCTTATTCTCTATTTCTCTATAAATAACATCTGCTTTTCTTTCTTGGAAACAGTAAGTGGGAGACGTCGTCGGCCGGCAACCATTGGACTTACTAGACAACTGGAGGAAACAGAAATTTATTCTTATAACAAAACCAGGAAAGACGCTAGATGAATCACAAGCATACAGACCAATTTGTCTCCTTGATACACTTGGCAAATGCTTAAGGAGACATCGGATGTCGTTGTTGCAGCAGCGAAACGTGTAATATCGGTTTCGCGGAGTTGACAATTATTGGTCGTTGTTTGTTGAACTTCGAGTCGTTCCGGCGCGAAGAACCGATTTTCGTGGGAACGTATCAGATGTCGTCGAACAAAGTGAAGGTCTTTCTAAGAGACAGTATGGCTCTAGAAGGCCAAAGTCAACAATAGATGCAATAAACTTTCTAATTGATTCTGCAAGGATGAAAGCAATCAAAGTCAAAACCAAAGGCAAAAACAGGAAATGCAGTGCCAACATCACACTCAATATAAAAAACGCTTTTAACTCTGCTGGTTGGAAACATATTATATTGTCTATAAGATCAATTGATGTTTGAATCAGACAAATTTACAGAATCGTACAATATCTCATCAGGTGTCCAACGTTATATTCGAGCTTAAAAAAATTAACATAAAGTTATGCCGACTAAACAGTTCTTTCTGGGATGTCATCGGAGGAGTCATCCCAACTTTAGCATCACACAGTTTAATCATTCATACAGACGCCAACAATTCCGTCTCTATGAATGAGGTTACCGCTTGAATGTCGTACTTAAAGGTCGCCCACCGCCCATAGCAGGCAGAAGAAAACCTGCCGCGGAAAACAAGAGTAGTCTGGCACAATTTAAATTGGGATGGAGCAACAGGCTTAATGCCTACTGGTCACGCATAGACCGTTCCGTCCCTAACGAATATCCGGCATGTGGTCAAGGTGCTCATGACACCCACCACATATTCAACTGCTCAGCCAACCCTTCATCACTTTGACCCATGGATTTATGGACATATCCAGTGGAAGTAGAACAATTTTTAGACCTGGATATTGATGTACTCTCTTTATCTAATAGGCTTAATGCACATGAGCAACAGGCTGGTCACGCATATACTGTGTCGTTCCAAACGAATGTCCAGCATATGGTCCCCAAGGTTCCCATGATTCAACTGCTCAGCAAAACCTTGCTTCACTTTGTTCAATTAATTTATGGACAAATCCAGTTGAAGTAGCAACAGTTTAGGCCTGGACATTGATGTAGCTGTTACAAAAACAACCTAAAAATTCCAGAAGAAGCGACCTTGGTAGTACTCGAAAAGAAGGTCGAAATTCAACTATATGCAGATGAAGCCGTCAAAACAATAAGAAACTGGATTAAAGCTATGAATTTACTCCTGACAGACCACCGTCCTTTCCGTCGTTAAATAGAAGACAAGGCGGACTAATCTGACATATGACACAGGAAGTTACAGGACACGGAATCTATAGGACCTATCAACACCGCAAGATGCAGAACTTATTCGCAAATTACAGGATGAGTCTCACACAATCACAGTGAATAAAGAAATATCAACAAAAAAGCTGACCACCGCACTAAGCAGTACCTATTGATAATTCCGCGAAAAAAGATAGAGCCATGCATAAGAGAACAACTAAACACAGAAAACATAATCGAATTTATGAGGACGTCAGAACATTGGTTTACCAATGACCATGACGCATATTTTACAGCCATGAGTAGTAATGTTCCACGGAGTGTGGGTGTTGACACTGGAGGTGGTTTTAGTCGGCATGAATCCGAACTTATTCAGTAGAGAGAAAACTGTAATAAAGAATTTCCTCCTATTCGAAATAAAACACATTTGTTTGTTTTGTTTTTGTTTTTTTTTTCGCAACATTCTTAAAATGCGGTTGAAATATATTTTTTTTTAAATTTTTTCCAACTTTTACATTTAAGAAATATGTGAAATTTTAAACTTTATTTCCAATTCTTTCAATGTTTTTTTTATTTTTCTTTTTGATATTTGGTGGTTTTTTATCAATGATTTTGTTTGTTTTGTTTGTTTTCTTGTTATTTTTGTTATAAGTTTTGGTAATTTGTGTTTGTAATGTAAGAGTTTTGTTTTTGTTTTTATTACAATTTATGTTGTGGTATTATAAATAGATTGGAGTTTCAAAGAAACAACAATTTACATTATGTTTTGAAATAAAATTTTAACAAAATAAGAATAAATTTAAGTTAAATTTTACTGTTTTTTTTTAATAAAATTAAAATAATAAGTTGGTTTTGGTTTATTTTAGTTTTTTTTTGTAAAACAAACAAAAGTTTAAAAGGAAAGGAAATTTGTTTTTTTATAACTTGCTTTTTTGTTTACTTTTGAAGGGGCTGGTGGGAGTTGCCAATGTTTTATTTGTAAGCAAGTTTTTAAGGTTAGATTTTTTTTAAAGATTTTA